TAAAATAGAAAATGTTGTAGGAAATATATATATATATATATATATATATATATATAATACTATCAGATGAGCAGGAATGTTTCAATCCATCAATTCGTACAAATTTCTATTCAGCACCACTGTTGACTCAGTCAGTACAACGACTGTGATATTGACACGGGTATTGTAAAATACCTTGAATAAATTTATATTAGGAAGCATTTTTTGAGGAGATATTACAGAAAAAAAAACTCAGTATTTTGTGCTTTTGAGAAGTATCTACATGGCTGTTGTTTAATTTAGTACGGATGAAAATAATGACGTGCCAGCAGTGGTGGAGAACGAACAGAACTGGTGCAGTAATTGCGGGACAACTGGACATCTGCTGACACTGCACGGTTTTTCCGGCAAAATGCTTTGTTGCGACTGCTACTGTTATTATAGGTATTTTAATATATTGTTATGCTCCCATAAAATCTTGTCGAATACATTATTCGACTGCGATGTGACTGACAAATGTTTGCAGCACCAAAGCACGGCGCATTTACGCACTGTTGATAGCATTTTAGCATCCTCAAGAGTCTTGCTAAGCTTGAGCGAAGGACTGGAAACAGCGAACATGTAGAAGTTATATATCTGCGCATAAAAAGTGCCAAACAATTTTGAATTACGCACGAAAAATTACGTCAAACCGAGTCACCCTTCACATTTTTCGGCCAATGAAATCCATCTGACGACTGCTTGCAGCCTTTGGTAAATTATCTTTTTTAAGCACTTCCAAATGGTTGCTGTTTGATAGTACATTTATCAGCCTTCTTCGTTTATGAATTCGACAGAACAGGCGATTTCCCTATTATTCGTGGAACGCATTGATAAGCAGATCTTAGTACAGCAAGACAACTGATTGTAGGGTTCCTCCGGGCAACAAGGAAGGAAAGAAATGCATTAGTGGATTCGGTTTTGTTTGGAGGCAAAGACTTTTCTGCCAATTATGTAGTGAATTGGTACAGTTTCTTTCGATGCTTGCTGTCATTAAAATTTTAAAAGCTCTTCTTTATACCCTTGTCCCAATCAGGGCGTCAGCAGTTATTTTAATAATATTTGATTTCAAATGAATGGCTGCCACTTTACAGTTCAGCACGTGCACTTACTTCGGCTACGTTACAATTTAACACGTCTTGTTCTTTTTTGGATGCAAGGGGAAAAGAACGTCGGCTAGAGCGGTAGTTTTGCATCACGTGACCACATGAAATCTTAACGTCTTGCACGTATGATTATCGCAAATTTATCCGGTGATTGGTCATTCATAAAACCCAGGTGTGCTAAGGTGCTGAATTTGAAGTTTTGTATGAGGGTGGGAACATCGCCTTTGAATTATGATCTTCTAGCTTTTGATTCCCGAATTGGTAAATTTTACGTCAAAATTCTCATGTGTTCGTACATGAAACGCAGACGCAATAGCTGAATTTGAAATTTTTTGGTCGCACGTTAACAGGGAACGAACATCCTTTTAAAATTTTCGCTTTCGAACTTTTCTAGTTTTCGAGTTGCTACTTTCCCTTTTAAAATTTTTTACGTGTCCGTACGTGAGATGTAGACGTGAGTGGAAGTTATCACGTTCCTGGGTAGGATTTGACGAAGTATTTCATTAGCAAAATTTTAGCATCTAAGCTTGCTTGGTTG